AATTTAAAAAAAAAAAAAAAAAAAAAGTTATGGCTGTTATTCAGTTCTCCAAGGCATCCTAGATCTTTCCTCCTGCTTCAGCCTCCTGAGTCACTGGGATTACAGGCATGCACCACTGTGCCAGGCTTGATCTTCTTATTGTGATTGTTTTAAACAGGGTGATTTTCCCTTCTATTACCGAATTAAAGGTATACTTTAAGAGCTATAACTGGGCTGGGATATAGCTCAGTAGTACAGCACTTACTTAGCATGCAAGAGGTTCTATCCACTATACTGCAAAAAATGGAAAAGAGAGCCATAAACTTTTTATTCTGTAGCACTGTAGAATCAATTCTACATTGAGCATATCAACTAAATCAACTGGGTCATATCTCACTTTTCATAGACTACTGGCTTAAAAGTAATCATCTTTTATAAGTGCAAATGGAATCAAAGGGTACAGATAATACAAAATGGCAAAGAATGCCAAAACCATTGGTTGAATATAGGTATATCTGATATTCTGGTAGCTGACAAACCTCAAAAGCATTAAGTCTCAATTCTAAGGCCTCATTCAGAAGAAATAAATTATCCACTTTCCCAGACTTATTCCCCCATTTAATATCACCCCAAAGGAAACTTTGCAGGCATAAGATAAGCTGCCTTGGATAACACTGATTAAAAACAAACAGTAAGGGCTGGGGCTCAGTGGTAGAGCGCTTGACTAGCACCTGTGAGGCACTGGTTTTGATCCTCAGCACTACATAAAAAAAGAATAATAATAAGTAAAATAAAGTTGTTGTGTCTATCTACAACTAATATATATATATGCTTAAAAAAAAAACAATAAAATCACAGAAACTTAGGGCATGTGTAAGGAGTCCAGACTTATGGGCTCCAACAGAGACAGCTGTCAGCTTCTCCTTAAACTCTAAAAGGAACCAAAGCCACATTTGATGGCTTCCAGAAACTCTTGTATTGAAAAAACAAGAGACTTGTACTTATGCTTCACACCTTCGGCTGGGGGTGGTGCGGGGGGGGGGGTGGAATAATGAGTCAGACAGCCACACTGACAAAGACAGTGAACCAGACACTGCTCTGTGTGCCCCTCATTACCTGCAGCAGTTTGTTTTGTTTTTAATTTTTRCAGTGCTGGGCACGAACCCAGGGTCTCACACATGCTAGGCAAGTGTTCTACCACTGAGCTACTACTTCAGCCCTATTTGTAATTTTTTAAAAACACCTGGAAAACCTAATTTTTTGTGACAAGTGACCTCATAACAGGAACATTAATGACACAGACACCTTTCTAAGCACTTTACATTTAGTTTTGAAAACAGCCCCATTATTCCCTCTGTCTCACACAGTATCTTACCCTGGACATCCCAGGCTAGTAAGTGAAAGTTAATCCTTTCTAAAAACTGTTTCTCAGTCTTTCCCTAATATTTAAACCAAGAAAGGGCACTGTAGTGAAATCGTGTGTGTAAAAACTGAGGACGTAACTACCTGAATGTATTCTCCTTTCCTAGTCTTTCCCTTCAAAAGTTACAACTCTGCTATGCCCCTTGCTATGAAAAATATGCCAGTATGGTACTTTAGGGAGAATTATGGTAACAAGAAAATCAACAATGCACTGGGGATATAGCTCAGGAGTAGGGTATACTCTTGGCATGCATGAGATCCTGGCTTCAATCCCCAGCACCAAAGGGGAAAAAAAAAAAATCAGGAATCTTTACTACTGTGCAAATATACAGATAAGGTGAACCAATATATACCAACCTTTGGGTTCTCCACCACCATTAGGACTCAAATTTGTCCAGAAAATGGTGTGATTGATATGACCTCCGCCATTGAACTTCAGTGCAGGTTGAAGGGCTACCTGAGCGGTAACATCTCCTGAAATGTAAAAAAGCAAACACATTTTTAAAACATTTTTATTCTTTAATCACTCTAACACTGTTTTTTTTTTTCCTTTGTGAGTTAGCAGATAATTGTACCAGCTTGTTTGTTCTAAAATTCAGCAATTTCAGATTCTATCAAAAATCGGACTCTCCCCAAATTATACACCCAGTGGATTTTCAGTTCAATTAATCACATGCAGAACTGGTGAGCACAGCAGAGAAGGTAAAGCTAGGAGAAAATTCACTCCTGACCACCAAAGGCTGAGGGTTCTCTTGGATAAAAAAGACTTCGGCAAATAAAACACTAAAGAGAGCAAAGAAAGTACAGTAAACGAGCTAAAATGCACGGCTCAGTGTACCTGCAACAGGGAAACTTTCAGTTCTCATTTCAAGACAGACAAATACTGGGAAACGTTTTAAAGTGACATTAACAAAAAACTCAACTTATTCATACTGAACTCCTGATTTGCAACCCCAAACTTACTCCTATGGCAGACACCATCTCAGTGAACGCCAGCTGTCCCACAGGACATCGATGTCACCTTTAATTCTTCTCCTTTCACACCTTACACCCAATCCACTAGCATACCCATCAGCAAAGCCAGCTCTCCTTTAAGGACACAGTGGTGCACGCCTGTAATGGCAGCAACTCTGAAAGCCACAGCAGAATTGCAAGTTCAAGGCCGGCCTCTATGACCTAAAAAGACCCTATCTCAAAAATTAAAAAATAAAAATGGCTGGGAGGAAGCTGGATTCAATCCCCCGTACCCTCTCAAAAAAGACATCCAGAATCCAATCCCTTCTCCCCAACTTTGCTGCTACCTGTTGGTGCACAGCACTAGCATCTCCCACCTACTTTGGAGCCACAGTCCTGTTTCCAAAAGATGTCCCTTCTCACTAGGAACCGCCCCAAGTCTTACACCTAGCTGTAAGGGGGCATGTCACCTGTCACCTGACCCTTTGCCAGCCACACTGGCCGGGGAGCCTTCCAAGACAAGCTCAGCACGCCCCCTCCCTGCCAAGGATGACCACTGCTGCCTCCGCTGGAACCACTTCCCAGCTGAGGGCTTAGGCTTCACCCTCTGCCTCTTCTCATGTCTCCAAACAGCACTCACCAGACTTTGGCCAGGATATACAAGCTGGCAGTTCCCATCACCCCTCCAGACTCTGCATCCCATCTCTCCTAGAAGGCGGTATAACTCCTGGCACACTGCTTCATCTGTCTCCCGGCGGAGGAGGTAGTTTGGTTTTGTTTTGTGTTTGTTTTTTCGTACTGGAGATTGAACCCAGGAGTGTTCTACCACTGAACTATATCTTCGGCCATTTTCATGCCTCAAACTTGTGATCCCCCTGCCCCAGTCTCCCAAGTCACTGGCACAGTGGCTTTTGTGTATGACTTCGGTTCTCAATTCCTAACACACTACCCACTGCCACCTACACAGCAGGCACTCAATAAATATTTGTTGATTCACTAGATGATTAAATACATTGAATATGTAATGAAAATAAATAAAATTTAAAAAAAGAAAAATGGCAAGAAAAAAATACATTGAATACAATTTTTTCTTTTTTTTTTTTTTGTTATAGTTGGTGCACAGCACTAACATACCTTTGTTTTATTTATATTTATGTGGTGCTGAGGATCGAACCCAGTGCCTCACACATGCTAGGCAAGTGTTCTACCACTGAGCTACAACCCTAGTCCTTGAGTACAATTTCTGAGGGGAAAAAAAAACTTTCTCCAATCTATAGTTTAACAAAAAAGAATGTCATATTTGGATAATCTGGATATATTCTCAAAACACTAGATAAAATAAACTGAAACCAAAAAGGTTTTTCTCCAGCTTGCTAAACAAGTAGGTGAAATAAGTTTTTTTCTGCTCCTTCCAGAAACTACAGATTAACTGAAGTATTGAGAAAACAGAAATTCCCTGTACAAAATGTACCAAGTTCTTACTATTCAAATTACCAAGAAAAGCAAAGTGAAAGCGAACCACTGGAGCTCTGCTCTCCAGGAGCTGGAAGTGTAGAAAAAGCTCTCAACCCCTGTTCTGAACGTCTAGGTGCAGGTAAGGTGGGGCATGCCTGTCATTCCAGCGACTTCAGAGGCTGAGGCAGGAGGATCACAAATTGAAGGCCAGCCTGGGCAACTTAGCAAGATTCTGTCTCAAAATAAAACATAAAAAAAAAAAAGTGCTGGAGAGTTTAACCCACAGTACTGAAGGCTGGAAATAAAAAAAGAACCTAGTTAAGAAATTCTATCTTCTGAAACAAGGCCAAATCTCCAATTGTTAGCAATTCAGGAGGAGAGGATTAAGTGATACTGAATCCACAGATAACCTCTTAGGATTTTCTTATTTCACCTACTTGTTTAGCAAGCTGGAGTTGTGGCTCAGTGGTACAGTGCTCACCTAGCACATGAGAGGCCCTGGGTTCGATTTTCAATACCACATAAAAATAAGTAAATAAAGATATTGTATCCAACTACAACTAAAAAATAAATATTCAAATAAAATAATTTTTTTTWAAAAATGTATAAAAATATATTTATAAATCAGTGTTTCCCTTGTTAATTTTCCTTGGAGTCACCCTAAAAATGTAAATACAGGTTTTATGCTTTTTTGTTGTTGCAGTACTAGGGATTAAACCCAGGGGTGCTTAAACAGTAAGTTCTTGAGGTTCTCACTAAATTACTGATGCTAGCCTCAGATTTTTTTATCCTCCTGCCTCAGCCTCCAGTCTCTGGGATTATAGGCATGGGCCAGCATGCCCAGCTTGTTTTTCCTAAATGAAAAAGAAACATGTTTACTAAGAGATAATTTAATAAACTCAACATTTTAAGCTGGGCAAGTAATGCACATATGTAACCCTGGCTACTTGGAGGCTGAAGCTGAAACACTGTAAATTCAAGGCTAGCCTGGGCAATTTAACAAGACCATGTCTCAAAATAGAATAAAAAGGGCTGGGGGCTAAACGCAGTGGTACAGGCCTATAACCCCAGCAGCTCRGGAGGCTGAGGCAGGAGGATAAAGAATTCAAAGCCAGCCTCAGCAAAAACCAGGCACTGGGCTGGGGATGTGGCTCAAGCGGTAGCRCGCTCGCCTGGCATGCGTGCGGCCCGGGTTCGATCCTCAGCACCACATACCAACAAAGATGTTGTGTCCGCYGAGAACTAAAAAATAATAAATATTAAAAAAAAATTTAAAAAATAAATAAATAAATAAATAAACCAGGCACTAAGCAACTCAGTGAGACCCTGTCTCTAAATAAAATACAAAAAAGGGTTTGGAATGTGACCCAGTGGTACAGTGCCCGAGTTCAATCCTTAGTACCAAAAAAAAAAGGGGGGGCTGGAGAAGTAGCTCAGTGCTTCCCTGATATATGCCAACCCTAGGTTCAATACCCTTAATCCTCAATATCTCAAAAAAATAAAAAATAATAATCTCAACATCTTAAAGTTTACTTAGCCAATTTAAAGCTCTTAAGACTTTTCTGAAGTTTAACTTTTTTTTGTTTCAGATCAGGGTTTTCCCCTGAAATGCAATAAAAAAAGGTAAGAACTTTTGGTTGAAAAGACAGTTATGATGAGATTATTAAGTTATTTTATTTATACTCTTATCACAATATTGGAGATATGAAAATTTACTTGATAATAATTTCAAAAATATAATTTCTATGTAAAAGAAACTCTGCAATATAATACTGCAATACAACAACTTTTTTTTCAGTGATATCATTAAGGAAGCAAAGCTTTGATTCCACAAGAAAGGGATTAAAACTAAGATGTCTTTAAAATATTGGAAAGACAGGTGTCAGATGTTGCCTTGCTGGAAATACTTTCACAACTTCCCAGCTTCCCCATTACCACATCACACGTTTGTTATTTCCTAAATCACAGCCTTTTCCCGTATTCAAATCATCTAACTGTTGCAAGCAAATCTTCCAGAATGTGGTAACTTCCTCCTCTTTAGGTGTAGCCTTTTATTTACCTCAAACACAATTTGGCTGAAATACTACATCTGTCCACTAGATGCCCCTTGTCAACCAAACTTCACTCTGAAAATTACTTAACAAATTTCATAGGCTTGAAATGCAACAAAAACACTTTTTTGAAAAAAAAGAAAATTTTCTTTACTGTGTAGTTTATCAAGCAATATAGTCTGAAAACAACTATCAATTATTTTGCAGTTGTGCAAACTAATGGAACGAAAACAATTTATTATTTACAGAGATATTAAAACAATATTCCCATATACACCTTCAGAGCCATAAACCCAAAAATCCATACACTACTGATTTTATCAACTCAGCACTTAAAAAGAAAAGAAAAAACAACCAGGTGCCTATAACTCCAATGATTTAGAAGGCTGAGACAGGAGTATTACAAGTTCAAAGCCAGCCTCAGCAACTTAATGAAGCCTAGGAGGCTGAGACAGGAGGATTACAAGTTCAAAGCCAGCCTCAGCAACTTCCCTAAACAACTTAGTAAGACCTTGTCTCAAAGTGAAAAATTAAAAGAGCTGGGGATGTGGCTCAGTGATTAAGCATCCCTGGGTTCAATTCCTGGTACCAAAATAAAAGTTAACTCCATATTATATTTTAATTCAATTTACAAATATTGTTTCCCACAGAATGACTATTTTTCTTGTGAACTTTAACCCCTAAATTAAATACAGAAACCAAGTCCACAGGGGCCTGACCTGTCTCACAGCCAGGTTAAGTGCTTTTTTGGTAATGAACATCATAATGCTGACTCCTGCCTCTTCTCTCCCGCATAAAGTAAATCAAGTTTCACAGTGCGGGGCAGCTCAGGATACAAGGAATCTCCCAGTCACTGGACTCTCAGGAAGTTCCAGGAAGATGTCAAGGACCACTGTTCCTATCACCTAGCAGTCTCCTTCCTTCTCCCACCATCTGAGGGACCACACCTGACACTGCTTGCTTAAAGCTACAATACACTTGAAAAAGGAGGCAGAGAGGCTGTCCTCCTCCACTTGAGGCCCAGACACAGAGAGGAAGTGGGGACAGCAAAGCCCCAGGCCACCTTTCAGGACTGACCCCAACACTCAAGAGCACTTGCATCTGGGCCACAAGTGTATGGGTGCCCTCAGACCTCCTGCTAATGATTGGCAAACCTACCTGAGAGTCCAAAAATTTCCAAGAGCACATTACATAACGAGTGCAAATTTTAAATGCTTATATGCAAACAGGAGCTAGAGCTTCTCTTACAACTCACCAATATGGGTAAGAAAAAGGGCTTAACACAAACTCACAACTTCCTCCGTGGGATTCTGTTTTCTGGGACGGTAAGAAAAGTTTAAACAAACCAGTCAAGACACAAGACACTCTCCTACAATGGGGAGGATCATTATTTGGGGGCSGCCCTCGTGCGGGGCGAACTCGGGGGTCCGGAGACGGCGCGGGGCTGCGGCGCCGGCACCCACCCTTGGCCAGCGCCTCGCGGTACTTGTCCTCCGTGGCGTTCAGGTTGTTCACGTAGGCCGCGTGGTGCTTGCAGTGGTGCAGCTCCATGATCTGGGCGTTGATGTGCGGCTCCAGGGCGCCGTAGTCGTAAGGCAGGTCGGGGAGGCTGTGCTTCTGCCGGCAGCCCAGAGCCCCCAGGGCCGGGGCCAGCCTCGCGCCCGCGCTGGAAGACAGAGGGCACCCGGGTCACGTGCGGCCCGCCCCGCGCCCGCCTCCCGACGCGCGCACCGGACACCTGCCGCCCCCGGCGGAGCGCCCCGGGCCCCGGCGCCCGCGTCTCACCTGCACGCTGCCCGCGACAACATAGCGCTCTCCGCCGTCGGCCGCCGCCTTAGAGCCTCTCAGACGCAACGCCGAACCAGACCCGCGAGCGTGTGCCCGCGGTGTCCCCGGCAGCGCCTAAGGACCTTCGCCTCCTGGGCCCCGCCCCCTCCGGCCGCGTCCACCACAGGAGGAACGCGGGGGGAACCCAGGGCGGCCGGAGAACCGTCATCCCGCGCAGGCCTCACACCCTGCGTCCAGGAGGCTGAAAGAGGGAGCGGTAAGCTTTTCCTCCGTCGTGACCACCCTGCTGCCGATCTGCCTGGGCTCTGTGACGTGTAGCGAGAGGAAATCGCACGTTTCCCCCCCGATGTAGAGTTGGTATGGCCCGCAGGCCCGCCCTCGTCTCCGCCCCTCCGAAGGCGGGGCCTGCGAGGCCCGCTGCAGCCCTCCCCCTCTAGGCCGCGGTGGTACTGCTGCTGCCGCACAGGGTCTGGCAGCCGCCCGGGGAAGGTTTGGGGACTTTTTCTCTACCTAAGGGCCCCAGGGACCGTCCCTTGGAAGGCAGCCAGCGTGTTAGTGGAGGGTGAAAGGACAGTGCCCTCATGTTTTGTCTTCTTGCCAGGTGCCCTTAGTGACCTTGCTTTGCCAGTAAACTGGCCTTGGGGCCTTCACCAGGCCAGAAGCCAGGCCAACCCCATCCCGCTGGCTGTCTGACAGTAGTGCTGCTATGGACGTCTACCATGGACTGCACTGCAAGATTTACATGCATTTATCTCTGTAAGTGTATGTGTTGTCGACTCCAGGCGACAATGAAATATTGTCGCTGAGATTAAGCAGCTTGCAGTGGTCCCACGGTTAATAAGGTAAGAGTCCGGGATTAGAGGCAACAAGGTGGAGAATGCCACTAATCCCAGGGCCTCTGGAGGTTGAAGCAGGTGGATCACAAATCGCCCAGCCTGAGAAATCTAGTGAGACTCTGTCTCAAAATACAAAACAAAAAGGACTGGGGATGTAGCTTAGTGGTAGAGCATCCCTGGGTTCAATCCCCACTAAAAAAAAAAAAAAAAAAAAATGTTGGAATTAGAACCCAAAACACAGAAGTTTATACTTCATGACTACTAAGCCCAGTCAGTCAAGCTGTATGTATTTGTTCAGAGTGACTTCTATGAACCAGTTGCCCAGGAGAATATAAAAGATGGACAACAGGGAAATCTTTCCTATGCTGCTTTATAGTCCAATAAGCTGTATCAAACGTTTTCTCAACAATTTAAAAATATCCTCAATTGTGTTAATTAGGAAAACACTAAGCTGTCTTTGACATGATTTGGGTCTTTACTGAATAGAATAATATCAAAAGAAGCAAAGCTAGGAGTGGTGATGCTGCTATAGTCCCAGCTACACAGTAGCTGAGGTGGGAGGATCACTTGAGTCCACAAGTTGGAGACCAGCCTAGGCAACACAGCCAGACCCCTCTCAAAAAAAAAAAGGTGGGTGGGGAGCAGAGTTTCTGTTGTTTTCTTCCACACCCTTTGCAGCCTAAGGATGACTAGGTTTCCCRTCAGGCAAAGAGGAACTTCCAGGAAGGGCTGAGGTTGTTTACAGATGGCAGGAAAATGAAACTCAGGGCATATGGTGGGGTGAAGGAGGGAATTCAGGTTGGGCCCTCATTATGGATTTTCTCTAAAACCCAGAAGAGCATGGATTTGATAAGATTGGTAAAAGGAAGTTGAGACATCTGTTAGCTGAGGTAAGACATCATCGAAAGTAGTTTTTCAGGCAAGGCAGAAAAACTACTTTGATATGAGGGCCAGGCTAGTTAGAAAGCTGTTGGGTTAATCCCAGAATGAAGTACTACCAGCCATTTTTAGAGTACTAGCTATGGGAACTTTGGGGAGAAACAACATTTTGAAGGGTGAAACAACAGAATTCAGTGATGGRTTGGGCACTGTAATGAAGGGGCTTGATCTAGTCAGAACAGAATGTCACACATGGAGAGAGTGGTCAGGCTATATTTGTGCACTTCTTGTCTGTAGAGATATGCTACTTTGAGACTAACTGACTCCTAGGATATGTCCTTTTGAACAAGCAACAAATGTTGGGGACAGGGGGAGTGACAACAGCAAAAAGAAGTATATCTAACATAATTAACTGCCTCAGCTCCATCCTTTGAGAAGACCACGCCAACCTCTGGAACACCAAGCACTGAGACCAAGGTGGTTGGGGGTGGGAGATAAAGAGAAGTTGATTGTCATCTTTGCATACCACACCTAATAAAAAKGCTTCTTTTTCTTTTTTAGATGGCCACTGAAAGGAGTACCCCCCCACACATACCCCATTCAAATGGCCCAGGGAGTTACGTGACTGTTGMCTGGGTTCTGTGCTCTTACTCCAGGCAGCTCATGACATCCTCTGCAATGTCAGGTCACCATGAGTATGCACTTCCCTCAGAGACACTTCCTCAGGCTACTTCACAGCCATTGTGAGACCCCTATAGTATATGTATTGATGGGAGCAGGCAACCAATGTGGGTTGAGATGAAATTTTAAGCCAGCTGTAAATTGCATTCACAACCCAGTAACAGCCAGTTGCAGTGTCTTAAATACAAAAGAGTATATTCCCTCACGTATACGAGGTCTGGGGTAGACAGTTCAGTGACGTCATCAAGGACACAAGCTCACTAGGTGTAATGACACACACCTGAAATCCCAGCAACTCAGGAGGCTGAGGCTGGAGGATCTCAAGTTTAAGGYCAGCTGGGAAACTTAGTGAGACTTTGTCTCAGAAAAAAATGGGCTGGGTGTGGGGGCTGGGGARTAGCTCAGTTGGTAGAGTGCTTGCCTCACATGCACAAGACATTGGGTTTAATCCCCAGCACCACACAAAAAAAAGATGGGGGACTGGGTGTGAATCTCAGTGGTAAAAGCCCCCACAGGTTCAATCACCAGGACCAAAAAGACTTAAAAAAAAAAATCAAAAAGAAAAGATGCAAACTCCTCTATCCCCAAAGCTGCCTCATGATCTGTTAAAACTTCTAAAGTACCAGCCATGTTATTACGTTTCCAGGAAGGGGAAAGAATAAAAGGTTGGGTTCCATTTGTCTCCTTTTATGGATCCTCTGTGGGAGATTCACCCAACAAATTCTACTCCAGACATCACTGGTCAAAATTTACATAAAAAGCTACAGTTATCCAGAAGGAAAGCTGGTAAATGTAATGATTTTGCTGTGCACATTTTCAGTTTGAAAAAATGTGGAATTCTGTATCTAAAGGAATAACAAATAGTGAATTAGAAAATGACAGTTTTTGTTACAAATCCTTCTATAACTTTATTTCCACACCCTTAGACATAAACACTATCATTAATAGAATCATCTTAGGTAGATTCTCTTGTTTTTCTTTTATGCCTTCTTTTACTTTAGTGTGTAACAGATCTTACCACACAGGAATCTAAATGAGAAGGTCTTRTATCCAGTGTTGATCATAATCCTGAACACCAAAATCCTGAATGTTGCAATCCCTAAGATATAAAATCCTGAAATCACTATTTTGAAAGATTATAATCCTGAATGTGGAAATCCTGACTGCTGAAATTCCCCAAACCTCAGTTTCGACATTGGGGAAAGCTCTCTAATGGGATAGTAATTCTGTTCCGGGAAGTGATTGCCATGACAACAACTTGAGTTTAAAAATGCATCCTCTGTTTGTACTGAAGTTCTTTCCAGCTGATGAAATTTCAAAATTTTTTTATGAAGTAAAGCTGTATTTGCTTAAAGGAACTAGTGAAGTTACTGACTCACAAACAGTTATGTGTGAATGAAATTGACCAAACTGTGTTATGTACATGTGCAAATATGCCATAATGAGCCCCACTATTGTGTATAATTAAAACACACCAATTAAAACAAAAGAAAAAATTATATGCTTAGTTRGATAATAAGACACAGCTGGGTGCAGTGGTACATGCCCGTAATCCCAGCAAGATGATTGAAAATTTGAGGCCAGAGCTGGGGTTGTAGCTCAGTGGTAGAGAGCACTCGCTTCGCACTTGTGAGGCACTGGGTTCCATCCTCAGCACCACATAAAAATAAATAAATAAAGATGTTGTGTCCATCTACAACTAAAAAAATATTTTAAAAAAGAAAAAGAAAATTTGAGGCCAGCTTTGGCAACTTGGTGAGACCCTATTTGAAAATCAAAAGGACTGGAGATAGAGTTCAGCACTCCTGGGTTTAATCCCCAGTACAGGAAAAAGGAGATACTTATACAACAGTGTTGCTATTCAGTTGCCAGTATTGTTTCTGCCAAATCTGTGATCTGCATATGGGGGTTATGGAACAGATCTAATGCCCTCCAACATTGAACTCAACCCTGTCTTGTTTGTGTAGACTTCAAGTTTGTTTGTTTGTTTGTTGACACTGGGAATTGAACCCAAGGGGTTACTTAACCACTAAGCTACATCCCCAGCTCTTTTTATTTTTTATTTTCAGAGAGGGTCTCACTAAGTTCCGTAGGCTTTCACTAAATTGCTGAGGCTGGCCTCAAACCTGCAAACCTCCTGYCTTGACCTCCCAAGTCTCTGGGATTATAGGGATGCACCATGAAACCCAGCTCAGCACAGTTCTAAGAACAACTCTCAAGAGCTACCAAATTACTCAAAAGTGGCCCAGAGAACTGAGGACAGTGACCAGGCATAAGGATCTTGGCTGGCTATATCTCCATCAACACACAGGAGGAATAGCCTTGTGTACCACTGAGGTTCTGTGCCAGAATGTAGTCCACTGGGAACTGTATGAAAGTCAGAGCATTTGTGGGAAACTGTGTTTTGTCCCAGATGCTACCATCCTGGCTCGAATCACCCTACTCTAGTGCCAGCTTATATCTACGAGGCCCTTTGGTGAGAATGTCACCTATTTTGCCCACTGCAGTGTGTCTATCACTGAAAGAAATTTTATCACTGAGATGAATATTTCTGAGGTGCACAGGTGTGAGGTGACAGGAGACCCCAGTTTCAAATCCACCTCTCTGATGCCAATGTTTGGGSATGTTTATGGGATAAAGAAGCAGGGTAATTTCAGGCATGGGAAAATGAGATTGGAAGGGAAGTAATCAGTGATCTGCTGAAACATAATCARCCTTTGTGGCTCTTCATGGGGTACAT